AGTGACAAATTGCAAATGATAAATTCATATCACAGACGTGAAGTTTGAGACAATGCTGGTGGTTCTGTGTTTTTCTGTTCTTAGTGTGTATATATATATATATATATATATATATCAAAATCTCAAATCATTTTACACAGGTTTTAAAATGTGAAAAACTTTTTTGCCTACAAGACATAATCAAGTACCACTTGCTTTCTACGTGCCCATCATCTAGGGCCAAACTGGAATGAGAGTATAAGTGGACTAATCTCCAGACACTAACTTAATTTTGCCGAAACAAGCACTGACCACGTTAAACATGCAGTAGAGTGGGTAGTTTGGGGATACTGACTGATAGATGAATTTCTCATTTGTTCCTCAGCACTCAGTGCAACATTTATATGGCTTTGTAATTTTTTTTTTGTGTGTGTTTTGAAATGAAGCCTCTTTTCTCCCTCTGGGTTTCTTATCTATTGCTGTAACTGCTGCTCCATGAAAAATTACCTCATCTCTACGGCTGGAGCCAGGTTTTCTATCAGCTGCAATGAAGTTTCCTCATTTATTTAATGAGTCTGGATAGGTAGGAAATGAAGTATTAGAAGCTGCAGATGAAGAAAAATAAACCAGAATTTTCTGTATTAGGTTACAAAAAAAAAAAAAAAAAACCAAAAAAGAAAGGGAGAGGGGGAATCTGTTTTAATATAGCCAGTCTGTATAATTGGTATTTGGATTATGGCATGGTTATTACCCTGCAGACGGGGGACTTGGTTATCACTCAGTCATCAGCCAAGTAGCTGCCTTCTGTGCTCATCTCATCTCTGAAGCTGAGAGAGGAGCTGCTTATTATCTTCAAGTGGGGTTATTAATGAGGGGAAGAATCAGCCCCAATTACTCTGAAGCAAAATATTTCCCCATTTACATATCGGAGACTTGAATGTTGATCTAGTCCTGCCTGAGTTTTTAGGCTCGGCTCTCTTCACTTCTCACAYCGCTCCCGCAGCGACACGAGGATGGTAACGTGTCCCCACGCCGGTATAAGCTGCCCGTAAGAGCAGCTCAGGGCCACAGAGAGGGCTCACATCCCATCCATGCGCTTCCAGAGGCTGCATCCCAGGGAGATCCCTCAATACTCGAGCACAGCGAGAGAGTCTCATGATTAGGTTTTGTCAGCAAAACCAGGAATTCTGACCTGCGTATTTAGTCTATGTTCACAGTCCTTTTTTTATTATTATTACTAACAAAAGTCTGGGATTAATTTGAAAGCCAAAATTTCACCCTTTTTTTGTCTTTTTTTCTCCAAGTATTGATCCTCCTGAAACTAAAGGTTTCCAAGTTTTGAGTATGAACATCCTAGAGTCCAACTGGGCCACACAAAGGTGCTGATTTAAGCCCAGTCTAACCAGGGACAGAAAATGCTGTCCATGCTGGGCATCCAGGTGCCGGGCTCCGGCCGTGGCGCCTTCCAAAGGCTGAGACATCCAACACAGTCCGTGGGCAACGGGAAATGTAGCAGCCAGACAAAGGACATGTGATAATTACAGAGCTATTCCAGGAGATTACAGAGTTCCTGGAAAACGGCATTGGCAGCCAGTGGACGCAAAAGGGAAACTTCCTTTTCCTTCACTCCTGATTGCTGTCAGGCTTGGTCCCTGTAATTTCTTTGCCCCTTTCAGAGCCCAGAGAGCCTGTAACTGACCGGTGTGGATTTTCCTATGGCATTTATGCCCATTAATTAATGCTTAGTTGATATACAGCGAAACTGCTGCAGAAAGGACTGTCTTGGACAGCCACATAAATATTAAATTAATTTCTTGTGAAGGATGGCTACTATTACACTAAATATTAAATGAATTCATAATACTTRGACATTTGCTATAAATCATCGCTGGGACTGCATTCTAAAACTCCATTCCAAATAGTACGTTCTTTTTTTTGGTAATGCAAAAGCCACGGAAAAAGACTGGTTACTCTCAGAGAAAAGCAGAGGTTTGAAACATTGGCAAAATTAACACACCCCCCACCAAGGATCAGGAGGAGCTTTAACTTACTCTCATTTTCGGACATGGGGAGGAGGCACCTCCTGATCACAGGAGGTTCAAACCCGGCGTGTCCCTCCTGAGGGACGTAGCACTTGGTTATCAGCTCCTGGAAGCCTTCGCTTTGCTGGAAGCGCTCGGAGCAGCGGCCATGGAGCACAGGAGAGGCAGAGAGCATTTGCCAGGCCCAGTCAAAGGGAGAGAAAGACGGATGCACCCAGACACCCAAGCTATTTCCCATCAGTTCACCTCCTATCAGTTCACCTCTTGCCCGAGGCTGTAATGGGAAGAATGGGAGTCTCTGTTTTTTGACTAGCAGGTCTAGGTTCAACAGCTAAAGTAAACTGTCTTGTTCCTTTAGAGAACATGGATTTTAATCTAGGAAGTTTTGTAAAATGCCCAGCTGACTAAAAAGAGACTAAAAATCAATTCTTTATGATTTTTCCTTTTGTTAGAATAGAACAAAGGGTACATTAGTATTTTCGTTATAGCTTTCTATTATCTGAGGGATAGTAGCTTGAGTGTAGAAACTTATGCTGGGAGTAACCTTGTAGGGTTGAAGCTGTTTTTATAATCAAAATTGAATGACTGACAGTCTCAGCTGCTCTTTAATATACAAATGGATGTGAATATACAAATGGATGTGAAATATATGTATTTCCCTCTATCCAAAGATTTTTGCTTCCGCGCCTTAAACGGTCTAAGACGTACAAGGCTTTTTCTAAAGAACACTTGCCAGGGCATTTAAATTAGAAGCAAAAATTAGAAAGGCTGCTACCACACAGGAATATTAATTGTTCATTACACAGGGCTTAAGTTCACATGGCTGCTTGGCGTGTGCAAAGCTGCCAATTAAGGCGCCGCGCTCCGTGCTCCACAGCAGCCCTTTCCCTAGAGCCCAGCCATGTGGGTCGCACCCTGTCCCTAGCCTGCAGACACCTCCCCACACGTGTGGACACCGTGTCCGGCACCCTTTGAGTCACTGTTTCTACCCACCCACCACAGGAACGCAGTTTGGCAATGGGGTTGGGCTAGATGATCTCGTGAGGTCCCTTCCRMCCTCAGCTACGCTGTGATTCTCTGTCATTTCGTGTAGAGCTTTGCAATCTATATAATGTGGACAGCAGCAATATCTCTTAACTAAGGAGCGAGGGAGAGACCAAGGGTGTTTCTTTAGGTGGACTCCTAGTACCTAGCACAGTTCTGACAAGGGTTGCTTCCCATCAGGGAAAGAAGAGGTTTACTAGAGAGGCTGGATCTGCTCGCCTGTTGGTTCCACAGGAATTAATTTAGGGATTTTTGACCTGATGGTGCCGTCTGGCTGTTCTCCTTTGGCTTCCATGGATTCTGCTTGGATGAGCATCATCTTGGCAGCAGAGATCCATTAATCTGTAAAGTAACTCATAAATGACAAATGTCCTTTAAACAGAGCATATGGTTGGGATCTGCAATTTGCAGTAGTCCGGGATCTGGAAGCTTAGCTTAGGCTCCACTCTTCAAAAACCAGTGGACATTGTAATAAAGATGTGCTTCAGTTTTTCTTTTCTATGTCTTGACATGTCCCAGCTCTCTCATGAGTCTATGACAGCTAAAGAGARCCAACAAGAGAACTTAGGGAGCAGAGACATCAGATATTCCAAGCACATTACAGTAAATCTGAGTATCTTCCAAACACTTATATTCAGTTTATCGTAGTATTTCTCCTCTTCTTTAAAGATGCTTTGAGAAATGACTTCAGTAATACGCACATAAAATAGCATAATTTTAAACCTTACACGGGACATTTTGTCTATGCAGAATAAATAAACTGCTGGCTTGTATTTCCAAGGACTGTTTCTGCTGGAAGACAGATAGATTGTTTCTGGCCCGTAAGCATTGCAGTTGCTGGATCTTTTTCCCCCCCGGGATCCCATTATAGAACAAATTATCAAATACAGCTAAACTTCACAGCCTTGAGTCTCTGAATATCCTTTTGGGTAACAGTTTGAACTTCTGATAGAAGAAAAAGGTATCTAACAGACTTTTTGCAAAACTTCTTATGTGGTTAAAAGATGGAAACTCTAATGCACGACGTTGTGGTTATGCTGGTTGCAAGTCGCGCTTCGCACTGTTGCTGCAAACAAAAAAAGAGCCAGTTGCTGCAAACGACACTCCACCCAAAACCTTCCTATCCAAAGAAGAAAATATTCTGCATTKGTGTGTGTGAGGTAAACATGTAGTAGAATTTTTTACGACATTTTAGGGTATGTAAAATTGGATASATTCCTCCATCAGTGAAACTTAAGGCTGAGGGAGCTGGGCCTGTTCAGCCTGGAGAAGAGATGGCTGAGGGGAGACCTGATCAGCGTGTATAAATACCTCAAGGGAGGCAGTGAGGAGGAGGGGGCGGCCTCTTTTCAGTGGTGGCCAGCGATAGGACTAGAGGAAACGGCCACAAACTGAGGCACCAAAAGTTCCACGGGAACGTAAGGAAAATATTCTTGACAGTGAGGGTGACAGAGCCCTGGCACAGGCTGCCCGGAGAGGTTGTGGAGTCTCCCTCTCTGGAGATCTTTAAAACCCGCTTGGATGCAGCCCTGTGCCCCATGTCCCTGCGTGTGCAGGGKAGTTGGACTGGATGACCTCTGGATGTCCCTTCCAACCTTAAGGATTCTGTGATTCTATGAAATTTGAATTTGCTTTTTGCTTTTCTTTTTTTCTCCCTTTGGCATTATTTGAAAGAGCACTTTATCTCATTTTCATTTGTCTGTAGCAGAAAAACATTTTAAAATGCTGAAGTCTCCTACAGGCTAACGCTGTACTTGGTGACTGTGAATTCTGTGGTGTCCCTTCAAACATGAAGCCGATGCTRTCCTGGCGCTGGCACAGCAGGAGAAGTCACCCCCTTAGGGGAGGGCAGTTCTCCACCAAGCACAGCCGAGGCAAAGCCAAGGCCACTGAGGTGTCCGCTCACCGTCCGTGTTCCCTGTGCTTGCTTTCCAGAAGGAGAAGAAGAGCGGCCTGCTGAAACTCCTGGCGGGAGCGTCGACGAAGAAGAAGTCGCGCTCGCCGCCRTCCGTGTCGCCCACGCACGACGCCCAGGCGGCCCTCGAAGGCGCCCTGCAAGGGGCCGTGGGACCCGAGCTCTCCTCCCTCTCCAGCCACGGCAGGGCCGGCTCGTGCCCCATCGAGAGCGAAATGCAGGGAGCCATGGGCCTGGAGCCGCTGCACAGGAAAACAGGCTCCTTGGATTTGAATTTTTCCATCCCTTCTCCTGCCCGGCAGCCCCTCTCTTCCATGGCAGCTATCCGGCCGGAGCCGAAGCCCTTGCCGCGGGAAAGGTAAGTCCTGTCGCCGGCTGCAGCCCAGGGCTCGGCTTTGGGCCTGCTCAGCCGTGAGGCGGCTCGGGTGCCTCTGCCCTTGGCAAACYGCCTGCTTTAATAAATATTCACCCTGCAAACAAAGAGCCTTGCCGTTGGGCTCTCCCGTCCAGTGAGGGGSGCTGCTCCTGGAAAAGGCTGCTTTTTACTTGGGATCCCTGTGTTCCCGTGAGCTCGGGAGCAGCCACGCGGGGCTCCCTGCCTGGGACAGCAGGGAGATGTGTTTGCCCAGCAAGGCCCTTCTGGCCTGCTCTGCGTTACCAGGCCCTGCCTAAAATTCCTCCTTGGGGGACTCCCAGCTAGAGCCTTCCTCGGGGAACTGTCATTAAAAAAGCTTCTCCCTTATAGAGAGGAATGTACAGAGGATGCTGGTGTTCRTTTTAACAGCCTACCCTGTACTTGGCACCTTAGAAAAAGTGGCTTTGCAAACCCAAAGAAAGCAGGGTAGCACTACCAGAAAAAATAAGGACGAGGGAGGGGATAAACTGGCAAGGAGAGAAGTGACTAGAGAGAGTAGTACAAAAAAAGAGCTACATCTCTGTYTGCAGAGTCACACTGATGCTGTTGATGCTATAGACATGAGGCTATTCGAATGCTTTCCACTGGAAAGGTGTCTCAGGCTGATGTGAAGCACTGCTCACTGAGAGGACACTGTTTTGGGAAAACAAAACAAAAACAAAACAAAACAACAACAAMAAAAACCCGAAGAGTTTTCAAAGAGCAGTCTGTGAAAGCGTCTGGAGTTGATCTGTTAAATGATTTTGATCAAGTTTTAAGTCCCAGAGTTTTGAGAGGAGTTGTTTTTGTGTGAATGTGTGAGAGGCAATAAATGAAACGAGTTGGGCAAGTCGGTCTGACCCTGAATCCACTCAGTGGATGGAATAGCTAATGCGAGGCCTAATAAGAAATACTACGGGTCAGGTCATACCTTGCACATGATATTTTGTTGAATGCAAGCTGAAATATGGTTGGGAAGGTAAAACTGATGTTGTAACATATTTATACTTTTCTAAGGCACCTGGCTTGTTAATGCGACGTGATTTTGTTGAGTAAACTACAAAACTGACACACTGTATTAAGTCAATATAAAATAGATTCACCTCGTGGCTTCRAATGTAATTATAGATTAGGAATCACTGGCACATGACTGTGTGTAAAGTGTAACCCCAAAACAGTTGGGTCTTAGACCCCCCACTGTCCAAGATAAAATCTCTGCTGGTGCAGCACAGATGACTGGAGTGGGAGGCAGATGATAAAGAGAGTAGACTCATTGGTACAGAGCGACTTCAGTGTGTTGGTAAACAGCATTTGGAGTAACAGTTTGCTTCAGAAAAGCCAAATTCGGGCAAAATGGAGTGGGCTCAGAGAAGTGCCATAAGGATGGAAGATTTAAAACAATATTCTTTTAGTGAGAGATACAAGGAACTCAGTTTTATACCTATTAGAAGAGMCAATTTAGGAACAACTGGTAACAGTCCATGAGAGACTGCAGGAAGGACAGAGATGGAACTATTCTTAATATGGATTTGATGTTTCTCTAAAAGAGGTGCTGCAGTTCAAGTGCAGCTATTAGGCTTGACACAGAAATAAGTGCAGGCAAGTCCTTCAGCAGCGTAACACAGGCACTGAGAGCAGACCATCGCCGTGGTCTCTTGCCCTTAGAATCCATGAAAAAGCAATTTAATAAAAAGAGTGAGGCACCAATTGCACACTTAATTTGGTCTACATCAGTTTAGATTAACGCTATAAGAAAAGCTAAATCAATATAAACTAGATTTAGCACCAGTGTAACTAAATCAGCAGAATACTGCACCTTTAGTTAAATGCAACCATGAAGAGAAACCCCGAAAAGCAATTCCTGGCACCTCTGGAGCGGGCAACTCCTTGGAAGTCTCAATCACTGCAGGGATGTCCGGGCATACTTAATACGGCAGCACTGGTCACCGAGTCTGCAAGTGTCCCAGTTCACCTCCGGATGATCCTGACAGTGAAACATGCAACTAATGGCACTATTAAGCAGCTGCAGGGAGGCAGGATAGGGCTGGAGGGACATGGGTTGGTGCTCAGCATTGCTGGAGTTGTGAGTAAAAACACATAGACTTCTGTAACTGTAAATACTGTCAATTGCAGTGTACAGTGGTAAGGAACTTAGTCTCATTTTAGGCATTTTGTTTCCTGAATCTTAAATCTGAAAATAAGCTATAATTGAAGTAACCTTAATTATACACAGCAGGCAAGATTCTCTAATTGATTTATGAATTAACTTCTATATCACTGGTGTATCTGCATGCCTTAGCTGATCATACGGGCTTTTTATGCCCATAATGGGAAATATTAATTACCTTCATGCACTAGGAAGGATAATGCTTAGTCCTGGAATAATCTGAGCAGATACGTTAAACACTTGTCTCTTAGAAATTCATCCCACATCCATCTGTGCTCATTAAATCGTCAAATTGCTCAGAAGTACCAAATTATATTTTTTTTAAACAAATTACAGTTTTCAACCCGCTTGTTCTTTTCACATCTGGCAATGGAGGAACTTCATTCAACATCTCTCAGCTCCGTATTTTGCTTGTTTGCATTTTGGGGCATTTCATCTGCACAGTAGGAGCAATTCTGTGAAAAAGAAAAGGAAGAGGAGGAAAAAAAAAAAAAAAAAGGTTAGATAAACAGATTCAGATGCTGGCTGAAATTTTAAAAAGCTGCAAAGCATTTCAGTGCACTTAGCTGTACTTGGCTTTCTGTCTCCCAACGCCCATCTGTGCACACAGAGACAGAGCACTGAAAGGTTGGAAGAAGTAGCACATTCCTTAATATTTACAGCATTTGAAATGAGGCTCATACAGGCAGCAGAGCCTCGCTACTTCTCCCATAGAGGTTGTCCTGCGGCTGCAGCACTGGCCTCGTGCTGGCTGCTGATCACAACCAAGCCTCGGTGCCCCTCGCTGCATCGGAGGGGCGGTAAAAGGCTCTCACTGCTGGCACCTTCGTGGTCACAGTTTCATGGAAAAGTTACCTGTTCTGCTGCTGTGCAGCACAGCCCACGCTGAGGACAGAGCCAGGCAGAAAGGAAGGCAAATTGAGCCTTGCTTTCTCAAAGCTCAGCTAGCTGGTGTGCTTTATTTTATTTTATTTTATTTTATTTTATTTTATTTTATTTTATTTTATTTTGTGCATGGACAGCAAGACAAATAATTATTTTACCTTACTACACTTCATACTTCTAGAATCTCCTCCAGTATCTGTTTCTTTCAGGGTGGCTGGAAACTGGTCCCAGCTCCCCTGTCACTTAGACTGGAGCCTTCCTGTCACTTCGGCTGGGGCCCTCCTGTCACTTTGGCTGGTGCTCCCCTGTTGCTTAGGCTGGAGCTCTCCTGTCACTTCTGTCCTGTGTGAGCAGCAGAGCGGGAAAGTTCCCCAGATGCCATTGCTGTCACATSGGGTCGCAGGGATGGGCTGTGAACGAGCACCTCAGCAGGATGCTTGTGTTCCATGCTCTTTTCCAGCTCCCACTGGTGCAATGAGCAGCACCATCCCGGGTGCTGCTGCCCCGTCATGTCCTGTGTTGATGCAGGGCCTGAGCCTGCAGACTGCTCTGCATGTGGAGGCAGGAGGTGCAGTCTGCCCACGAGCACCAAGGCGGTACCTGTGCCGTCTCCGGGTGCTTTTCATGGAGCCTTCCAGCAAGCTGTGATCACAGCAGCGCAGGATCAATGCCAGGGSCAGGCGCCTCACGCATCTCCATGAGCTGCCATGGGCACTTTCCGCAAATCACTGCCACATTCAAACCTGAGCTCCCACCTCACGGAAGCACTCGAGCCCATTGCACATCACACCTGCTGGCTCCAACCATACCCCATACTTGTATCTTCTTTGCCAAAAGGGAAAGCAAAGAAAGGGCTTTTTCATTCCTGGAAAGGGATGCTGGAGGAATGACCCACAGGAGCACGTTCTGCCTGAGCAGTGACATGCAAGCACATGGCTAAGTGCTTCTCTGATGGGGCATACCTGATGGAGAAACTAGAAATAACCACCTCAGAAACTGAATCCTGCAATATTTCCAGCAGAAGGGTAGAAAGACCCAGCTGAGATCTGTCCTTCTAGGGCTGCTGATTCAGACACAGTAATATGGAAAGTGGGAAAGCAGCTTTTGGCTCTTGGTGTGTAAAGGAGCTTTGCAGGTCTCTGCAATCTGCCAATGAAGGGATAGCAAAACAGAGCTCCACTGATGAGTAAGAGCAGTGGGCTRGGTGCTTTATTTGCCCTGATTTGCTGTCCCCACACAAAACTACGTTGGCAACCCTAAAGCACACAAATGTCCTCTTTGTTCTTCCTGAAATACTTGCTCCCTTAGAATACTTTTACAAACAGAAACTTGCCTTCAGTTTCCAAAACCAAGCACTCTGAAGACAAAATGTGTCCAGTTGAAGGCTAGCCCTGCAGTCCTAGTTTTCTTCATYGTGCCTCTATTTTCCTAACTCTCTCAGCCTCCATCAGTGTCCTGGTTGCACGCATTCACTCTGGGAAGCAAATATTCGGTATTTTGGTTTCTTACTCTATGTCCAGACTGGAGCCCAGCTCTTCCTTAATTACTGGTCAGTTTTGATGGATGCCATCCAATGTCTATTTCTGTATGAAAAATTTAGACCAGACAAGCGATTCCTAGCGTGCATGAGGTGAGCCCCRCTCTGTGGAGTGATGCACAAGTGACTTACCCTGCGTCAGGCTTTGCAGCTGGAGGAGGCAGCGACCCCCCTTTGCAGCACAGCATTCACCTGTGCTGTGAACCTGCCACTGTAGTCACTCACCAGGTGTCTTCCAACCACCACCAAAGACGGTGACTCTGGCAGACCCAAATCTCTTCCTTGACTCCTGCTCAGAGCAGGACCATTTTCCGCATGGACTGAGGCAGGGATTCATTGGGAAAAGTGGTATGTGATCATGTAATTAAGGAGTCTGTTTTGTTCAAGCAAAAGTGAAGMTAATATCACTTGCCTATTTCTTCATCTCAGATGCATGACTGTGAAACATTTGTGTTCATTTAAGGTAACGGCTGTCTTTATGCATCTGTATTTTTTCTTTTTTTTTAAAGGAAACGAAACCAGAAATCCCATCATCTAACCTATATTTGAGTTGAGGAATTCTTAGACTACCTTGCAGATGTCAGTGGTTGTAGCCAAGGGATGGCTGGCTGGGAGCACCATTCCGCTTGATCATGAGGGCAAGCACAGTACGTTGCAGGACACCAGGTTTCATGGGTGACAGCAGAGGAACAGTGGGGACTGACCCATTTCCAGCCCTCCTTGGGCAAATGCTGCTGGAAACCCGTCCCCCCTCAGTCCCATTGCGGCCCTCTGCCCCATGGGGTGCTGTACCAAGCCCCAGGCTCTCTCCTACTGAGGCGCTTAGTCCTGCCAGTCACCGCTCAGYACAACTTTCCCCTCTGCAGTCATGGCTATACCTTTTGTTGGTTCTTCCAGTTTTCACCCTCGTCCGATTTTTCCCTTAGCTCTTTCCCTCCATTCATCCAGGATCAGCCTCCCTGCATCCTCTGCCTCGCCTCCCCTCGCTCTCCAGCTCCCTGACGTTTCTCTTCTTGGGCAAACCCAGTCCTGGCCTTGCAGATACCGCTCACAGCCTTGAGCACTGAGGACCTTCCCCAGGCCAGCCCCCAGGCCCAGTCTAGGACCTTCCCCAGGCCAGCCCCCAGGCTCAGTCTCCTCAGGCTGCTCTCCACATCCCTCTTCCTTGCTCTGTGCTCCCACCATGGCTCTCATCTTCTCTGTGCCTGCGTCAATAGTTTCATCCTTTGCTTTGGCAAATGCACCCAGCCAGGGCTGCCATCACAGCCAGCTCCAGGCAGGTCCAGCATCAGCGGAGACACCGAGAGGAAGAGAAGAGAGGAGAGGACTCATTGCTGGGAAACGGAGAAAAATGCCTCCTCTGAGGTTCTGTAAGAGCTAGGATACCATGGAGCATGAATCAACAGAGATTTAACCCTCAGTGCTCCTGCAGATTTCTAATAAGCATGTGCTATTTGGGGATGTTTTCCAAGATTTTAATCTGGAAAAGAGTGGGTAGTTTTTTAAAGGGAAACCATCCTTGCTGGAGCACAAACCGTGTCTTTACTGCAGAGTTTGGAGACCAAGAGCAGTTTGTGGAAGCCCTCATCCCAGTCCTGTTAGCACTGCAAAAACACCCTCGTGTCATTCCCAGAAGTGATGAAACAACTTGGACTTCATGCAGGACCCTCAGCCTCCTATAGTGAGCTGAAATAGAGCGTTTTGTCCAATTTGGGTAACAATTGGGAAAATTATGACTCTCTGAAAGTATGCAATTACAACAGAAAATACCAAACACCCTTAATAATAGGCAGAGCTGCTTGCCACACCTGTAACTGTGGTCATTACATAGCCGCTTAGCATTTTAAAAAGCTGGTAATTTGGAGGTGTAATGTGACATGGAAAAAAATCAGTGTCCTTCCGAGATCCATGTAAGAAGCCAGAAAGCAGTCTGGTGTAAGAAAACCTGCTATTTTATGGTATTTTCTCAAAGAATGAGGGAAATGAGAAAACGGGATATAAATAGAAGTATATAGGACTGCCTTTTGGGGAGTGAAGAGGATGCATGGGAGAGAAAAGAGATCTTTTCTGCCCCAAAACGTGGCTAATATGTATGTTTGCAGTTAAATTCCAGAGAGAAAACTAGGCTGAAATGCCACCTGGAGGTTCCCAGTAGCATCACATGCTCCGACAGGAGAGGAGCAATTCTGGTGCCTGGCAGTCCCTTGCTGGCCACAGCAMCGTGTGATCATTTATTTCGTGCTCCCAAAATATCCCAAGGGAAAAAAAAATGCACTCATCTTTTTCTGACTTTCATGGAGAATTTTGTAATTGCTTTGCAAGGTCTTTTGTACCTAAGATTTCATTTTTCCATCAAAACTACTTTAGAGTTATCATATGAGGTACTGCAATTGATTGAAATTAAACTGTAACATCTATGTTTAGAGCGATGGCTTTGCAGAGGCTTCCCAGCTGGGTTTGGGGGCGACCTTACTTGTGTCACACGTGTCTGCATTTCTGCTTCCTTAGCTGTCATTCCCTCCACACGACTTGGCTGCTGCCAGGGTTGGATCCTGTGTTTCCTCAAAGCCCCCTGAGATGCCAGAGCAGAGGCCCCGTGTGCTGGGGCTGTCTATGCAGTTGTGAGGAACGAAACCTGGCATCATCTTAGCTAAAATGGTTCCATTCTGGTAATTTAATTAATCAACAGTGAAGCGGAGTGTCTGAAATAATGTGTGCATTAATTTGCCTAATGGCTGTAATTGGCAAAGATTCCTAATGTAAGAGTAGCCTCATGTATGACGATAGACAGAGAGATTGTCCATGTTCCTGCAGGCATCCAGCAGCACTCATTTCCACTTCTGTTACTTGCTTTCCCACTGGGAAAGGCAGAGACAACCAGATTTATAGGCCAAGGGACAGAAATGACCAGCAGATTTTTGATGGCACTTGAACGCCTCTATTTGCCACATGAGTGTTTTGCCATGCCAGGATAAGAAGGCTGTAGTCAGGTTTTAGAGCAGACCCTATGCTCCAAATGGAGCTGAATGCATTTCCAGTGAGAGAATGTTTGGCCGTGGAGATCTCCTTTAGCCAAATCTAATATTTTCACTGTCATGTCAAAATGTTGCTCTGGTTTTGGAGCTGCAATCACTGAGTACGAAAGCCATGTGTGCAAAGAGGATTAATGACTGCCTCGAGAGCGCCTTGCTTTGGTGTTGGGAATGGCCACAGGAAGTGCCACAGACCTGTCAGCGCACATTGCAGTGAGGTCTGAAAGGTAAGATATTATTTTAAATAAACCCTTGCCTTTTAATGAACATGAAGGGAGCATCAGTGGCAACGCAGTGGCTGTGGAGGCATTGATCCTCAGGAGATGGATTTCAGATAATCAACGGGCATTTTAACTATCTTACACTATTCATTACTTCGCAATTAGCAAGTTGCAGTTATTGATTGCTAAGCAAATGCCAGACGGTACCTGTGCTTAGGAAGAACTCTAGAAATACGTTCCCTGCTCTGTGTACAAGTGCCTTGACACAGAAGGGCCCAGTCTGAGTGCTTGGGAGGGCAGCGGTTGGTGAGGAGCCTGCATGCAGAAGAGCCATCTCAGCATCAGACCCATCATTACACCTCTAAAATGAAGTGACACTTGAAGACTAAGCAGCTAGAGAGTCCTGGGAATGCCCTGGGACTCCSCCTTGGCCTGGAGAGTGCTTACAAAGTTGTTTGATGCCTCTACATTTTAGCTTCCCTTCTGGGTTTGAGGGACCCAAAGTGCATTCACAGGATGCGTAATAAGAAGGAGGAAAATGTGAACGGTTGTCACTGGTCTCTGGTGGTAGCAAGGGCAGCTGGTCACAGCACAGCACAGATCCCCTTTTCCAGGGAAGCAGCAGCAGTGCTGGGAGGGAGCCCTGAGTCCCTCGTGCAGGCTCACCAAGGCCTTCGGGAGCAGGGGCTCTGCCCTTAGGAGACATTTAACAGAATCTGCCTGCTTTTATAGTCCAGGCCTAGCATACGTCCCAGTGAGGTCAAGCTGGCCAGAAATTCTCCCATGATGATGATTTTTTTTTTTTAAATAGGAAATGCAGCTGCATCAGATAAAACCCTTCCGTGTGAAAATACAGCTTACTGATGTTTCARAAAGGGCTTTTCCTGACATTTCTGCTTCACAGGAAATGGGGGGAGGCGAGGTGGCTGTTTCACACTTGAAACAAAGCTAATATTTTTGGTAAATAAAAATGTTCCCGTGTTCTGACTTTTGTCCGGTTTGAGCTGGGAGCCAGCATGAACCGCTGTGGCCACCTGGCTGCAGCCTGGAGGGAGCCCACACAAGGGCTTGGAGCAGGAGAGGGGGAGGAAGAAGAGGAGGAGGAAGAGACCTGCCCGCTCTTCCTGTCCTGGAGCGGGCAGATTTGATATGGGATTTCAGGGAGCTGCTGGTGCTGACACTTCATAGCGTTAGCGTTCTCTAACTTCATCAGAGAGTGTCAAAGCAGAGCTGGTGTTTAGCTCTTACTTACCAGTCAGCACCAAAAATAGGGATGGGATCTGCTTAGCCCAAACCATTTTGGAAGGGCCGTGCAGGGTGCTCGCTAAGGTACCTTCAGGAAAAGCTTCCCTACTTGCACAGCCCTTCGATTCCGACCATGGAGCGTCAGAAAGGTGGGGATCCAGGCCAATGTAACGCAAAATCATGGAATGGCCGAGGTGGGAAGGGACCTCTGGGGATGATCGTCTCAAGCCGGGTCACCTAGCGCAGGCTGCCCAGGGCTGTGTCCAGACAAGCCTTGAAGATCTCCAAGGATGGAGACTCCACCGCCTCTCTGGGCAACCTGTTCCAGTTTGACCACCCTCATGGTAAAGAAATGTTTGCTTCTCTTCAGGGGGAATTCCCTGAGTTTCAGTGTGCGCCCGTTGCCAGTCTGACCAGGCCAGGAAAGGGAGAGGCCAACCGGAGAGGCCAAACAGCAACCTGACTGTGCCTGACGTGACCTTCTTCGCGTTTCTGTTTCCGCAGGTACCGCGTCGTGGTGCCCTACCCGCCGCAGAGCGAGGCCGAGATCGAGCTGAAGGAAGGCGACATCGTGTTCGTGCACAAGAAGCGCGAGGACGGCTGGTACAAAGGGACGCTACAGAGGAACGGCCGGACGGGCCTCTTCCCCGGCAGCTTCGTGGAGAGCTTCTGAGGAGAGCTCTGCCACCCGCTGGGGCGAGAGGGGACACCCCCAGCACAGGGAGAGACAGCAAAGGGAAACCTGACTGATAACCACTGCCATTTTTAATTTCCAAAGACCCCCTCCAGTCTGCAGCGTTGGAGACACCGTGCCCCGCTGCGCTTCTGAGGCGGCGCGCGGTGCGCACGGCGGTATGTTGAAGTAGTGCCTTCCACCCGGAATCGCGGAGCGAAAGGACGCCCCTGTGGACTGTACGTGACCTGGACTCCAGCTGTTAATCCTTTGTGTAAATTATAGAGAAAATATCTTTAAAAGAGAAAAAAAAAAAAAAAAAGATTAAGAGGAGAGTTGTTATATTGCTGTAACTTATTTGTCAGAGCTGCAGTGTTCTTATTACTGGCCTATGCAAGATGGATTTGAGAGTTCACGGAGGTGTGCTAGGAAGCTCTTAAACTGGGATTTTGCTTTTCCAGAGGGCAAAAGAGGGAGGGGAGGGTGGAGAAAAACCCAGGTAAGATTTGTGCATTGTCATGCAAGACAGAATGAAGAGTCCAAAACATCAGTGTCATGCTTTCTATATACCTCAAAGATATGCTGCGTGAGTTTGTCAGTAAACGTGTCAGTGCTCAGAGTCCCACGGCAGCCGGGCTCCCAGTGTTGCCGCTGGGAAGATCCCGGAGGAAGTTTGGCTCCACTGTGCAACTGTGGTTATTTGAGCAGAATCCCTTTTGCCCGTCTTCTGCCCTTGTTATATGCAGCATGGATTTTTGTCCGTCAGTATCACTTTCCATCGCTTTTTTGTATGACGTACCTTTTTACTGTAAGAATTGTTATACTTTATATATATTCCTAATAGATCAGACATTTCCTCTTTTTCATACATCTGGTGCTATTCTTTTTAACTGTTAAAGATTTGGTCTGGTTAAGCAGAGAGGCTGCAACAAGATTTGCATTAAACCTATGAAGCTAGAAACATACCTGAAGATCGAGATCAGACTGACCGGTTCACGTTTTGTAGAGGAAAAATAAAGAAAAAAAAGAAAAAAACAGAAAAACTGCTTGGTCAGTGATAAATATACCTGAAGGAAGATGCGTGTGCAATAAGCACACGCTCACGCTCTCACGTGTATTCATAGTGTCGGACGAGCCACACTAAAGCACAGCATTCTGACCAGAGAGTGATAATTACTCCAGAATTGGAAGTAATTCCCGGAGGAGTCGTTTTAATTGACTTTTTCATGGCAATAAGAAGAACACTGCAGGTTCTAGCACACACAGGGACTGCGGAAATTTCCTCTGTCGTTGCATCACAGAGATGAAAGCTGAGCTGCGACAGCTGTAATTACTATTATCGAAATGTGATTTCTCACTGTAGAAATGTACAGTTCTGGAGACTGTTCAGTTTCTAAACATGGTCAAGCTACAATACAAAAAGTATCAGGCAATATAAGCTTCCATCTACCAGGGACTTAAAGGTGCAATAAATGTAAAGCAAGTTCAGTCAGTTATTCATATCGAGGAGAATGAGGGGGAAAAAAGAAGTGTAATTGTGGAAGTATTTAAGAAGAAATGAATTCTTGATGAATGAAACATGATGAAAGAATTTTCTTAGCTGTATCTGTACCTTGCCTTTCCCAGGGGCTGGCTCTTTGCCAAAGCCAACATGTGGTGGTTGTTTAAAAGCGTGTCGGAGGCACTGTAACCTGGAGATGATCTTATTAAAAGGAAGAGGCCCAGTGGGTGAACATCATTACTGTGTTACCAGTATTTCATATGTGAAGGTGTAAGTTCTGTTCCCGTTCGAGCCGTGCCTGCTAGGACATGTCAGAACACATAGAAGTGAATGTTCCTATTTAAGTTCAGCTCTGTGAATTTGTTCTCTGTAAAATAAGTTTCTTCTTGCTGTCACGTGTAACAAGCAGATCCCAGAAACACAGTCCATGGCCAAGCATAGCACCTTCGAGCACGGAGGCATTATTTTCAGGGTGTTTCTTTTTATACTTGCTGTTGCCGCATTTGTTCATATTCCAGATTGTAATGAGTCAGCCACTAAAAGGTTTAGTTACTGGTGAGAGGAAATTGCCTTTTTATAACCAATAAGAGACTGAAGAAATGTCTTCWGCGACGACTGGTTTGAGAATAGAGCCATATCTGTCCAGTTATTTGGGCCAAATCAGAACTGGTATCACTGCACCCTGAGCAGTAAACTGCACAGTTAGCGAGTTAGCAAAGCCAAAATGCGYGTTACTGAGTCCAATAAAAAATCCTGGGTTAGATCTGTCAGAGACGAGGAGATTTTTTTCTGACAATTTACAGCAGTTAAAGTTCTCTTAAAATTCTGTTCCGGGAGTGAATTTACTACACTCTGCAAAGATGGAATAGGATGAGGGCTTGGTTGCTGTCTATTGTATGGAGCCAGATACAAAATGTTTCCAGATTTCCTTGTTTTAATGCTTAACTCTAAGAGGACAAAAGTTGGTATGGGAGAAGATAAAGGGAAAAAACAGATGCTCTGTCATGAAATTAGTGCTTTAAAACGTATTTTTTTRATGATGGGAGGATAATCATTTTTAGTAGACAGCAGCCTTTCCGCTCAAATCTCCTGTAAAGAAAAAGAGTGAGGGGCTCTGTTTTGATAGCAGCTGTTTCTGGCCCCTGTTTACTGCTGATTGTGATAGCTTGGGTTATTGAATAATCTTCTTGGACAAATCACTTCCATGCCAGGAGCACAAGTGCAGCATGTAACACAGATYAGTGATAGAAGAGAGTGCCCCAGTGCCATTTGGAAAGTCATGTCATACAAAGGAAATGGGGGTGAGGGGATGTTTTTGCCTCCTGCAATAGGGGGAAAAAGAAAGATATCCTTCTGGTGGCCTCCGTTTGTAAGATGTCAGGTTTGTTCTAGAAATGGGTTCAAGTAATTGAAGAAATCCTTTGAACTTTGCACAGCTCAGAAAAATGTTTTTTGTTAAACATGAATGTTAATGTGATTTAGGAAATGTTGGCGGATACGAGTAAAAATGAACTACAATGACTGTGTTTCCGATTCTTTAAATAAAATAAACATTAAGGTAACTTGATTGAGCTTTTTTTTCTTTGTTGCTAGCGAAGTGATTAGACATTGTGAATGCCACTGAGATTCTTAAAGAAAATAAGGAAAAAAAAAAACCTTTCCAAACCCTGTTCCTTCTGAACAAACATGTGTTTCCTTTATGTTCAGGCATAAGTCTCACCTAAGTATAAGAAGACAGCTAAAGGCAAGGGATGCTGGGTCAGCAGACAGAGTCTGTTTCTGCATTTTCTTTTGGCAGGTCTGTGTTTTTGCAAAGTCCTGAGACTGTTTTTGCCTGCTGTTCTGCACCTATGAGAGAAACAGGTGCTGTGGCCGTATGTGGTTTCCCCTCCACAGGCTTCTTGCTCCATCCCGGACATTGGTTTTCCTTGTTCTCACAGAAGAGGCCCACTGGAATTCCTTCCTCTCTTCCAAAAAAGGCCCATGCTGCCTCAAAGAGTAAACATGGGACCCATTGCAGAGGAGACTCCAGGTGGGGAACACAAATGTCTAGCCCAAACACAGGCACCAAGGCCACTCCTATGTGTGTTTTGAGGTGTAAGAAGTGCCAACTCCAGCCTGCTCAGAACAGCCCTGAGGAGATCTATCTGCCAGGCCAAATAGCCCCAGAAAGTTGCATGAAGCACCTAACTTCTTGGACAAAAGTGCTGCCGGTCTGTAGGCACAGAAAGAGCAGAGGGTTTTACCCAAGCACCCATGACCCCACTGAGCAGCGCAGCGAAATTTTACCATGGGACTAGCAGAGCGCTGGGCCCTGCGGCAGCCCCGASAGGAGTCCCGGGCAGGTTTTAAAGGAAAATAAAGCTTGTGAAGCAGTTCTGTGGCCCAAGTGTTGTGCGGGGAGCATATGGACACAATCCGCAGGCCGTCCTGGCTCCTGGATCTCCTGCTGCTCGCCCGGCGGCTCCCGGGGCAGGAGCGAGGTGCACCGAGCCTGTGCCAGGCCAGATAAATGAGCTGTGCGAGCAGGCGAGCCAAGTGCTGAGAGAGCCTGGAGGTGGCCTCACATCACGGCCTTTCATGTAGCAAACAGAAATAGCTTTCCAAGCAGACACAGATGTAGTTCCAATTACTGGAGGCTGTTCTTCCCAAAAACATTCACCTCTCCTCTTTACTCCTSCTACCCTGTCGGGACCCACTGTAGGGACATGTAGGGACTGTAGCCCCATGTAGGGACAGCCGGAGTCCCTCAGTGTGGAGCGGGCAGGGTGTCCATCTGCCGCCTAACCTGTGTCTTGGTCCCCTCAGAGATAAAAATGGGCACTATTGACATCAAAAACAGTGCCCCCCACAAACTGCACCATTGCCATGCAGGCCAAGCACTGAACCCTCAACACCAGACCTGTGTCTCCCAGAGATGCTCCAGGGAAGCATCAGCCCCACACTGTAGGTCACCCCCTCACTGTAGCTCCTCTCCACAGTACCTTGGATTTGCCCTGCAGCCACCCACTTGGAAATAAGCACAGGAGACAGCAGGGGCAATTTATTAAGATTTTTTCCCCTTCCCTTCCCCAGATAATTGTCTGGGATCCACGTTAATGGGAACATAAATTGATTGCCACAGTGCTAAACGACAATCAAGCCTTGTTCGACGGAGCCGGGAAGGATCTTCTTCTGAGCACTGGCACCAAACAATCTAAATGCAAATTACAAAATGTTTAGGGTAAGGAGGCTGCCTGGCTTCTGATGAGGTTATACGATGACACTCAGAGGGGAGAGATTTGCCTCTTGGCTCTTAAGGACTATCAAAATATGTGACAGTTAAACTGCAAGGCCAGTGTCTGCAGATTATTTTAATAGAGTAGGCACTGTTAGTCAGTGAGGGTTTTAACTAATCTTCTCTTTAAAAATATAAAATAAAATAAAGATGCAKCATTTCCGTGGTATTTCAGCAGTTATTGGGCATTCAAGTAGCGTGGAAAATGACCCAGTATCCCCCCTTTCAATCCCTTTGTATCTGCAGTGTCAATCCTGTCCTCTCCTGAAGAAATACACTGGAGCAGCCTGGAGAGGCTGGAGAGCAGACAGGAAAACACATTCCATTTCCCCCATAAGATCAGCGAGTTTCCACGCAGCAATGCAGCCACGGTACGTGACAAAGGTGCGCTAAGCTTGCCCTGAGCACATTGCATTATTTACTGAGAAGAAGTACCATTTGCCTTCCTTATACAGGAAAGAAATACAAGGAAATCAACAGCAAGATTCAGCCCCAGACTCTGATTTCGTAGAATCATAGAATCACAGAATCACTATGGTTGGAAAAGACCTTTGAGATCATCGAGTCCAACTGTAAGCCTTTCACCACGCTGCCTGCTAAACCTTGCCCCTAACCGCCTCATCTACACATTTCCTGAGCACTGCCAGGGACGGTGACTCCACCACTTCCTTGGGCAGCCTGTGCCAAGGATTCACCGCTTTTTCCATGTAGAACATTTTCCTAATGTCTAACCTGAAAATACCCTGCGCAACTTGATGCCATTTTCTGTTGTGCTATAGGTAGTTATTCAGCAGAAGAGATCAACCCCAGCCTCACTGCAGCCTCTTTTCAGGTAGCTGTAGAGAGCGATAAGGTCTCCCYRGAGTCTCCTCTTCCCCACACTAAGTAACTCCAGCTCTCTCAGCTGCAACTCATAAGGTCTGAGCTCCAGCCCCTGCACCAGCTTCGTTGTCCTTCTCTGGACATGCTCCAGCACCTCAATGTCTTTCCTGTAGTGAGGGGCCCAAAACTGAGCACAGTATTCAATGTGTAGCCGCTAACGGCAYGCCCTGGGCTCATCCCTAGCAATCCTGGTTCAGCCTTCTTTGGGCAACCCCTTCGCTAACAATATGGAAGACCAAAAGCAGTAATACTGAGAGGGCCATACAAGACCTGGGAGCCTGGGAACATATTTCACCCGCACCCCAGACAGGCAGCAGACCTCCCTGTGGGAAGCTGCTGGTTGGCAATGAAAGAACATATTCATTGGATGTTCCTCTGTTGCAGGAATGGCACTGAGCAAGATGACAAACGCTGCTCRTGCAGACCCTGCCCCACCAAGAAGGCAGCAGTAGTCCTAGCTCTTTTGTGGTCTCTGCAGAGTCAGGGCTCACAAAAAGCAAGCCACACACATCCTTTTAGTCTAATGTGTAAGTCTTCTGGGGAAAGAACAAGCTGGGGAAACTAGAGGAGAGGTCGGGGGGAGCGAGCCCTCAGAGCACAAACGGAGATCTCCAGGGAGCAGACGGAGGATATTTGGGGCAGCGAGAGCATTCCGAGGATCTTGGAGTCAAGATGGGGAGGTCTCCTCTSTGCTGCCTTGTTCTCCAACATCAGCTTGTCCTGCGCTGTGCTTCCCTCTGGGAGCCATCACAGGCCTTCCAGGTTGCTCAGGGAGGAGAGGACGGGCCCTGAGAGGCTCCTGTGCAGCCTGCAGAGATCACTCCTCACACCGGTGAGCGGAGGGGCGGACACACAGGCTGCAGAGGTGCTGCTGCTGGCAGGACCATGGGCCCCGTTGGGCTTCTCCGTGCCACAGGCTGGACCACTGTCCTCAGCTGCTGCCTCAGGGCTCTGGCTACCAGAAGGGTCATGTCCTGCAGGACCTGAGTGCTCTGTGGGGRGAAAGAGCCCCTTAGGAGCTTGGAGTGGCCACAGGAACATCCACAGGGAATCACTTCTCTGTGGGAGCAGGCACCCACAACTACCTGTCACGGAATGAGTGGTGGAAGGGGTGAGTGACAAAATGCACTTTGCTCGTATGAAAGAAGTAACAATAGGGTTTATTGATATGGACAATGATTTTACGAGATTCTATGGCAAGGTCACTTATTATTCACTGCATGGAGGCTCAAGATAATACACAATTATCTTGGGATACCCTCCCGTTGGGTCACGAGGTTCAGATTGGACCCCCTTGCTTTCCAGGCTCCTTCTGAGACGAGTCTGGGTGCGTCTGGATCCAATCCTAGTCCCAGACCTGGTCAACGGTTTATGTCTAAGGGTTCTTGTGCACAGTTACAAAGTAAAGTTAAAGAAAGAGAGCGCGCTATGTTCGCTTACCACAAATCTGTCGTGGAAAGGAGGGTCTTTCAGCCTCGAGGAGTAACCTTGAGAGGCGTCCCTGCTCAAGGGGAGATCCTGCTGTGCAGGCCGCAGCCGTGTCAGGAGAGCTCAAAGGGCTCTCGGGCTGTCCGCATATTTATAGGATTATTGACTTAGAGTCATTCTTTCATTTCAGAGGCCCATTGGCTAGTGCACTAGCCTTATCTCCCCTTTCAGATGCAGCCTTCAGGAATGTTATGTTGAGTCTAAGCAGGAGAAGAAATCAGGATAGTGGCGCCTACCAGGATTAGATAAATCGCTGGTGGTTAGCAATTGAACAGGGCTGCATGTAAGGCACAGGCCAGGTTGAGGGGGGAAAGGAGCGTATCCGTCACACTACCTAGGGARCTCCACAGCTACTATGGAGCAACACACTGTGGCCACACTGGAGCTGCTCCGGAGGAGCTGGTCCTTATGCTCTGCACTTAAGGAAAGCCAAGGGCCAGACAGAGAGCAGCAAGAGAGCTCTTCTGGGCCAGAGCTGGACACTAGGGGAAGAGCAGAGCTCTGCAGAGGTTTCCCCTCTGGAAGGAGGGTTGTTTGTGAG